CGCAGGAAATATGTGAGAATTATTGTGTGTGCGTATCTTGGGCTCAATACAAAAATTAAATGCACCAAAACTACTCAATGCGAAATAGCCACAAATCCTGTTGTCGACTTGAATTACACCTGCAAAAAAGGATAACAAGTGCACGGATGTGTACAGAGTATGTATGTACTATGCGCGTATGTAAGTGTGTTTGTACATACTTATATGTATAGATCGAGGCATACCCAGTATAAAATTTATGGATTAATACCAAAATAAAGAAATTAAAGTCAATCTTTTTTCTTTTTTCCTAAACTTTTATGTATTTCATCCTCGCTTAATGTTACAGTACCAGGTTGACCGAGCTTTGCCCGAAGTGCATATATTTTTTAAAGTTTTCCAGATTTGGATAGCTTTAAAAAAATATTTAGGGAATTAAAAAAAAAAATGGATTTCAATATGTATTAAGTAAATTTATCACTCTAAAATTTAGGTGGAAACCCTATTACGAAATACGCTGAATACCTTTCATTTGATATCCATATTGCGATGTTTTAGATAAATTGTGCAGAATCGAAAATAAGTGGCAACCTTACACTATTATCCTAAGTGATAATATTTTGCATAAAGGGACAGAATTGTTTAAGAACCTTCTCTTGGCGCCCATGAAAAGTAATATTTTAGCTTTCTTTCCTAATAAAAAATTAAATAAATATGCGATTCATAATAGGTGGCAAACCTATTAAAAATATTTTTGAATTAGAGATCCTTAAAATACCTTTCATTGGATACCCATATTATGATGTTTTAATTAATTTGTAACTAATTTCGAATAGTTGGCAACCTTATATGTGGTGTAATTCACTGCTCGCAAAAGAGCGACCTAAAATTAATCTTTGGATGATTCAAATTTTTACTGGGTGCATACTCCTATACATACAAAGATATGTATGTGCGTGTGTGTATAGCCAAGAAAATTACGCGAATTGTAGCAAAAGGACTTGAACGAATCCACAAAATTACCTATACAGCGCCAAAAAGAACACCGAAAAAAAGGTACGAAAATTCAAAGAAAACGGGCTAAAGAAGTTAAATAGCGATTAGCAGAAAAGCAAACAAAAGATTAATAAAAAAAAAACTCATACGAATTGCACTTGTTGCAACATTATTGCTACCGCACACCGGCAGGGAATGCCACTCAATACGCAGGGGACATAATAATTCTCAGGGGGATGATAATGACAAGTGTATCTCTCTTGCGATTTGATTGCGTTAATATTGTGGTTGATAATTTGAGGCATTTTAACGGCACTCCCTTGCACCACTTGCCGCCGAAGCGCCGCACGTCTTTCCACTTTTGCACGAACTCAACTGGCTAAAGGACATCGGAAATAGGGCGCTACTTACACAATAGTGTCAACTAATCGCCATTCACTCCTACGAACTACTCGTTTCTTTGTTGTGCAATACAAAAGCAAGCGTAGTTCGCAGGTGACTTCTCTCTCTCTCTGTTAGTGCTGCCCGCAATTTCTCGACGTTTATCATAGATTTCACACGAATTTCTTAAACTCTTCAAATTGCTGTTTTTGTTAGTCATTTTCAGAGTGAAGTTTTTCATGATTTTCATTATTTACTTGGATTTGCGGTGCCTTTGATTTGAAAGGCATAAATGACCATCACAGTTATAATTATCCAGTGTCGTTTTACAGGAAACATGATTATTATTATTACACATTAGACTGGGTCGAAAAGAGTGGTAATGACTTCTTTGTTTATGAATTTAGAAAACCAATTTGAGAGTAGCATGCATTGTGGAATTATTTTTGGTTTAAAGACAAACCGGTTTGGGCGATGCACCCTTTTCCAGTGTAATTTTTTGTTCTCGTACTTGAGTTTGATGAAACAAAAAAATTTGTTTTCTTGGGTAAAACTCTGGGTACTGACCCAGCTACATACACTGCCTGCGAATAGTATTATTATAGCTGCTCTTTACAATACATGCAACAATTTTTATTGTAATATTTTTTCCGATAAGTTTTTATAAAAGTATGGTTCATTCCACAAAAAAAAAAACATAAAAATATAATTTCAAAACTTTGTGCAAAACTCAGATTTTTTAATTTTTTTTGAGAATGCTGATTTGTAGCTACGATTTGATTTTAGCCATTTATTTCCTGCAGGCTCTTCCATACAAAAAAGTTTTTGAAAATACTTTATATGGAAAAAATGCAAAACACCTTCAACAAAAAAAATAAAAAATTATCAAAAATCAATGCGATTTTTGACTAACTCCGAACTTGCATTTGTTATACTAGAATTTAATGGGCTCAAAATAGTATAAAAGTACTCCTTAAGACCGGTATAATGAAATACTATTTTTTAAAATCGGATGTCAAATAACCATTTTCGTGATGTTTAGAAGGATAAAAAAAGGAGTTAAAGGTGTTGATAACCTCTCAGCATGACATTTAAATACATGTGTGGACTTTTACAACCTTTATTCGTATGGCGAACGACCCGGTCTAATATGCACCAATGCGGTTTAGGCCAATTATTTAGAAAAATATTTGTGCGTACATTCCCATTAACTATAAAAGCGCTTATAACCTGGAAACGTCTGCTAAGTTGGTGTCAGAATTTTTCATCAACGAAATTTCCATTTGCGCCAATTGCCGCGGTATTAGCCTTTCAAGCATCGTCTTAATCAGTGGTCGACAATATCCCTCTCCACCTTGAAATTGTCCCAAAATAACCGTCACTATTTAAGAGAAAAAATAACCTACAAAACAGAACAGGTGGTTTATTTTTTGTAGATGTGTGCTCCTCTCAGTTGAAAAGGGTCGTTTGCATATCTTTTTCCGTTCCTGTTGGACACGGACGCTTATCGCTGGAAGAGGAAAAATAAGTGTTAGAGCGCGGTTACCCTCAAACGTGTACGCAGGGTACCGTAGAAGTGCGTAGACACATACCAAATTTGCTGTTGATGGAGAGAGATAGAGAGAGAGATAAGCAACGTCAACGTCACGGTCATGCGGTGGCAAAATATCGATAATAAAATCGATACCCAAATGATAAAAAATATCGACAACAAAATCGATACCCAAATCGATAACAAAATCGATTATTATAACGATAAGTCTCAAGAATACCGAAAATCCCGAAATAGTTCCCAGGTTGAGGAAAACACAAAAATATCGCACAGAGTGATATGCCACGGTGAGAAATACTCTTTGCTTGAGAGATGAGTGTTTGTGTCAGTGGTCAACACCATACAAAACACTTGGTGACGGTTATTTTCGATCTCTGGTCTTAATAGACTTATCAAGCACATCGTGCGAATGTCTAAGGTTCACCGTCGACGAATGAATTAGGCCTTATCAGTATGGCTTTAAACCTCAAATCTTCCATAAACCAGTTATTCACCACATGCTATTTGTTGTTGTTGCAATATCTGCGAAATTCATATGTCTGTATATGGGATTGGAAAGGACCTCACCGAGCCGTTTGATAAAATCGACGTTTCAAATAAGGTGACTCTCTATCGTATATTTCTAGTTTGATATTAGAGAAGCTAATAAGAGCTCTAGAACTGAACTCCTCGGGAAAAATTTGTTACTTGCTAATGCAACGTTTTACAGTGTTGCCTTTGTCTCAAACTCCGTCTTCTAATTGATGGTCAAATTGACACGGTTTCATAAAGGATTTTCTGAAATTCAAAGTTTGTCCCTTATCTGGAAAAATCACTGTAACCTAACCGTAAAGTAATAACAAGCTACCTAAAATTTTCGGGGTCATGCTCGTGCCGAGAGCCGACAGCGACGGCGAACTTGGTATTTCTGACTGGACTCTTAATCTATACACTATTGGCTTCAAAGTGGAAGGCGGAGTTGGAGCGGGCGTTTTCTCCGAATCACTGGGATTAAGTAGATCCATCCAACTGCCCGATTTTGCAAGTGTTTTCCAAGCAGAAGCATTCGCTAAAGCAGAAGGCTGCCAACTTTTAGAACGAAGTGACTTACGACAGGGCGAGCGTATAGCCACTTTGTGGAATAGCCATTCGGCCATTAAAGCCGTGGCGGCTTTTACAACAAGGCCGAAATTGATCAAGGAGTGTAGGAGTCTTTTAAACGCTGTAAGTAGCTAGCCAGCTCGATCTAGAGTTAGATTGGGTCCAGGGTCATCGCAACATTTCCGGAAACGAAGCTGAAGACCAGTTAGTCAGAGAGGGTTTCACCTTGGCATCGATCAAGGAGCGGATCTTACCCGCAGTTGGAAAAATCTATACATACATTTTTCTCCACAATCTTCAGAAATCGGATTAAAATTGGGGAACGGTGGCAGGCTGCCGTATATCCAAATTAATGGGGCCAGTGTGTGTTCTCTTAGACACGACTTATTAGAAAAAACCAGACCTGACGCACGCATGCGAGAACGAAAATTAGCACGAAACAGTAGAACACCTTCTTTTCATATGTCTCTAATGAGGAGCAGAAATACTCACATCGTTGCGAGTAATATCACATATAAGCCTCTTAAATATACTCAACTCAAATTGTGCGACTAATTTCTAAAGAGAGTATACCGAGACTAGTCTCGTACGGGTATTATCGGAGATCAGTTAGTCTACACTCATTTCTAACGAGTAGGTACAATTAACGTTTTAATGATATGTACGCACTTAGTCAATGGAATTTCATGTGCAGCGTTGTCACATAGAGAGAGTATTCGCCTAATAAACCTGAGAACCCTGGTTCAAATCGCAGCTGGCGCAACTTTTCATTTTCGCTTTTTATACCCGTTCGAGTTTAAAAGGGAACAATTAGTCTCATCATAGGACATGTTCGAACAAAAGCGAACAGTTCACTCCATATAAAGAGATCAAAAGTGGTATTAGTCGCATGCTCCTTTGCGATTGCTCCCAGAGTCATTCCGGATTAGTCGCATTTTTTGCTGGGCTATGTCACTCGTTTAAAGTACTTACCTAAAGAAATATTATTGAAGCTTAAATGAAAGAGTTGAACAACTGAATCAGACAATGGTCGCACATAGATATATATTTCCTCATTAAAATTTTACTCCAATTGATAACCTATCATTGACTCAAACATGTTGTATGAATACTAAATTCTGGGGAAACATCATACCTAGGACCATAAGCTTATCTATTTAAAAAACTAGTTAAATCATTGGTTAAACTTAACTATAGAAAATTTCATAAGCATTGATAAGTTAACGGCCCTTAGCTTTATTACTCTAAACTGTCACCGGGCAGCGATACATTGTATTCAATTTGTTGATATCACTTTGGCTCAAACCACGTCGCTGGCCCATTATACCGGCCGCTTCATCCTTCAACGGGACTATAGTCATTTCGCCATTTGCCGAGAAAGCATACGCTGTATAATGTAGGACACTACCATAATCGTATTCCTCATCGTAATCGTCGACAAAGTCCTCATCGTATTTATTGAAATTACTTTCGTAGCCAGATCGAATGTTTTCAGTTGCGATGCGCACATATTCATCACGATTCGAAGCGCTCTGCATATGGTAAAATCCGAGCGTATGTAAGAACTCATGCACGATTGTGCCGAGACGGAAGCAACCGGAATCCAAAGCATAAGTCTGCAGATTATAGGTTTGAACGCGATTCAACCAACCAACACTCGAATAACAACCATCAGCATAGCTGGTTATATTCACATAATATTGCTGGTCGTCAGTGGCTTCCTTAAAACGGATGCATGAAACCTCCTCCAAGATTTGAATGCCTCGCAAAATATGATTACGATGTGCCTCATCTATATACATAAGTAAGAGCATACTACATTTTTCGTATGTTTCCAAAAAAAATACGCTTATTTACCTAAAACACCTTCATTGAATTTGTAGTAGACAGTGTTATTTGGCCAGCGTCGGGTTTCGTTACGATATCCATTGCGCTGCGAAGAGCTCAATACGATGTCGCCTTCAAAGTAGCCAGCTATCAGCTCAGGGTCTTCTTCAATGGGTGGGCTTAGTGGTGCCGCTAAACCAGCACCAATTACCGAAAGCAACGCAAAGATCCAAATAATCTTCATGATTCCTTAATTGTAATTTCACAAACCGAGCACGCGAAGGTGTCGACCGTAACTAAATGGTGAATGGCAGTTGACTTAGTGAAATTATTTTTATAACGTCATAAATGAATTCTAAACAGTATGATAAGTTTAATGAGATTAATGAGTTTTTAGCAAATCCCAATTCTGCCAATTTTAGGCCGAACTTCTTCAATTTTGTACTTTGTGTTGCGAATAAATAGATACATGTATTCACATTCTTATATGACTCCGCTATTTACCAAAGGCAATAAGTCAGCATTTTTTAGATACCAAATGTTGATGTAGTCCGGCATGATGCCATATCGGAAAAAATGCTGACTTATTCCCATTGGTAATTAACCGATTCATATGTGAGTTTGTAGGTATGTCTATCCAAATTGTGGGATGTTGCTACATCGTCATTGGTTTTTAGACAGTTTATTTGATTACATACATATCTGTAACTTGTAAGTCTCTGCTATTTTCTGCCCTCAGTGCTTACTTGAGAAAACTTTCATCATTCTTAACTTCGAATTTCAAAATAATTGGTGTCGTACCCACAACTCAAAGGGTCGTCGGCCTAACAGCGACTCAATAGAATAATCCACTGTTAACAGCTACTTAGTTATCAGTTTATGATTTCTTCTAAAACCATACCCGGCTGTAATAAAACAAAAATTTATAGCTTTGGCACACGGCGCTACCATCGACTGTTGGTTTTTTTACACACGCAATTTACGTATCTACAAATAAATCGATCGAAATACTACATATATGTGTAGGACACGTAAATACTGATAACATTTTTATGTACTTTAAGGAATGTATGTACATTGGCGCTTTGTTGTAAAACAAATAAACACAACTTATTAATCGCAAAAAGGTTTAGTTTTAAAATAATTTGCTTCTAATTATAAAATATACATACTCCCAAATTATTAGCTAGCAAATGTCTCATTTAATTTGTCTTCTTTATTTTTTCTTCAACGAAATCTGCTAACAGAAAACGCGCAAATCAGTGGCGAGTAGTGAACTTAAAGCACACGATTTGTACATTTTGCCAGTCACATAGTGTTGTTGTCTAGAAATTTTTCTCGATAATGGGCTTAGTGCAATGAAAGCTTTCCAAACAATGCCACTCTTTAACTGTAAAGATGTCCAAATCTGTATAAATGTACAAATCGTGTGAACCCAGCTTAAGAGTCATCATGCTCAACAAAATGATTTACAATAGAAGGGGTGGTACTACAAATTGTACAGTGGTCGATTCCGCAAAAAACTAAACCATTCAGATTTTTTCCTTCTTATTAATATCACGGTGCGACTGTTATTTTTTCACAAAAAAAATTGTATATACGTATTTGCGAAACGAAAGGCCAAATATAGTAAAACTGCGTTTTGGTTTTTCTCTCTAACGTCAGAATTTTTTTTGAAGGACTTTGAAATTTGAAATAACATAATTACTTCAAAAAATTAATAAAAAATTCAGTGCAATGTAGAGAAATAGCATGACTATCAAATTAAAGAGAAAATTCTTGGTGCATAAGAACGATTAGGTATTGAAAATGTCCTTTTCACATTTTATCATTGAATATCCTTGAAATTTCACAATAATTATTTTCGAAAAAATTATATGTTAAGGACTAATATGAACTAGACCACTAGACCGAGAATTTCGTCTTTCTAACTTTATTCACTGAAGGTGGTAAAACACTCGCATACGAACTGAAATTCTTACCGAATATTGTTTTATTAGATTACACACAGCCTGAATGGGCGCACCCTCCAATGTTTATGGAGGCAGGTGCATGGACAGGGACAAGAAGGAAAGCCTTCAATACCTTCTCTGTCATTGCCCGCCACTATCACAACGGGGAAGAAAATTTTTGACAGTTAATTCTTCGATTATTTGGGTGACTTCAAATCAATGGATATTAAGAGCTTTTCCACTTTTTGCTGAACATTCGTGGTTTCTAGGGTAACGAGTATAACTGTGAGCTCTCATGCGGCAACACAAGCGTCCCTGAGTATGGGTGTGCGACTCTCACAGGCGACTGTCGCCCAATCTAACCTAACGGCTATTCGAAAATAAACATAAACGCGATTCTGCACAATGACATTCGATTTGGCTCAAAGCTTGCTCTCAGCCTAATTTTATACTGAAACTGACATAAATGGACTTCAAAATTTGTTTAAATCTTTTTCTTAAAAATTATGGGTGTTGTAAGTATCGATAAAACTGCAAATTTTGGTCAACACAATTTTTTAAAAGTTGACTATTTGTTGTTACAACTACATAAATGAGGCATCATTGGAAATATAGTAGTATATATATATTTCTTTTGAAATAAAGGGGATTTCTAATTTTTAAAAGTTCCATCCATATTCCTAAATTTATTTTTGCAATACCCTATTCAGTCATTTCCAAAGACATCTTATATGAAGAATCATTAAAAGATCGCAGTGAGTAATTTTGTTGATCCATTTTTTGCCCATAATTTTTAAGAAAAATTTTTGAAGTCTATTTATGTCAGTTTTACTTAGTATAAATTAGGCTGTGAGCAAACTTTGAGCCAAATCGAGGGCCATCATGCAGAAAATCACCACTTTGCCCGATGAAAAAAATTATGTCTACATTCTAGAGGTTTCAAGATTCAAATGTTTCTGTAACTAAGCCAACTATACGTTGCACTCCGGCACACCACCATAATATATATGTAAATATGTATGTATGTATGCACAAGTGCATTATTTATTCCCATGTAGCTTATTTGAAATATCACATTTCTGCAGGCGAATTCAAAGACATTTATTTCAAAAAAACCGATTTTCACTTTTTAAAATTCACAGCATATTTTTAAGCCCATCAAAAAATATGCACATCATCAACATATCATATTTTAATACCAAAACACAGTTAACGGAAAAAAATCACTCAACCAGCTAAAAATCACACGAGAGGACGCTCACTATTCGAATGCAAGTTTAGCCATTTGCCAAAGTGCTTCCTTCTCATTCAATTTTCCTGCGATCATGCTTTAAGCATTCAGAGCGCTTCGTTTGTTTTTTCGTTTTTTTTTTTTTTGNTTGTATTCATACGCTCATATTTTTGCACAGGCGATCTTGTAATCAGCGCATCCTTAATAAATCATAAATTTATTCGAGCAAATATTTCTTTAGGGATGCATACAATTGATATGTAAGTATGTATGCACATTAGGCTGCATCACCAAAAAAAAAGTTGTGGGTTTTCCGCCGGGATTACAAAATTTATTATATTCTAAGACGTCGACCAAAATATATCTGAAAAATATTAAGATTTACGTGAGCTGGACCGATTTGAAAATACCTCCAAAAATGGAGTTTTTTATGAATAAAAGTAGTTTCTTAAAGCACTTTTTGAGAAAAGCTCCCTCAGATGACAAAAGAGATAAAGTTTAAAAAATCTGCATAGAAATATTTAAAAATCTTTTTTTCTCTCTGTTTTTTTACTTTTTCAAAGATTGATTCACGAAAAACTTGAATAACTGGGCCAAAATATATTGTTTTGGACTTATGGGATCTCAGTGAAAAATTTATTTTTGCACTATTTTTATTTCTTTTCAAAAATTGTTTGAAAATTTTTTAAAATATTTTTGTGCAAATTTTTTAAGCTTAAACCGTTTTATCCTTTGAGGGGATTTTTAAAAAAAAAAATCTTTAAGAAACTATTTTTATTCACAGCAAACTCCATTTTTGGAGGTATTTTCAAATCGGTCCAGCTCACGTAAATCTTAATATTTTTCCAAAATATTTTGGTGGACGTCTTAAAAAGAAAATATAATTTATAATTCCAATGGAAATACAGCACCGATTTTTATTTTTTATTTTTTTTGTTTGGGGAGTGATGCAGTCTAATGCATATATCCATGAAAATATAGTTGTATGTTTATAAGCGCAAGGCTTTGTGCATAAGTACGACTACATTTCCGCGCATAAGCGTACACTTGTCAGTTGGCAGCCAGTCAGTTCGTCACATATGTAGCTATTGAATGCATTGTATTGATGCCATTCACTCAACTGGTGTCCAACATTGGTGTCTGCAGTCACACATCTCAACCAGCGAACCACCAGCCGGCAAACACCAACCTTCTGGGCCGTAAGCCAACATGTCCAACAATTGATGCAAACAGCATATTTACCAGCACAACGTCCGTCCGTTTCACCTTATGCCAACTTTACACCGATCATTTATTCTTATGTGTTTATACAAACGTACAGACATACATACATACATAGGCACGTATGATGATTGTCCGTCCGCGCATACAGATTTCTGCATATATTTTCTGCTCTTCCAGAGATGTGGTAAAAAAAGATCACTTCTTATATGTGAATAGTTGTTGTCTTTGCCGGTTGTCTTGCGAATGACAAACGTATTATTAACTTCACACAAAAAGCGTTCGATTTTGCACCGTTTGCTGTCGTTGAGTGTCGCACCTACTCGCGCACAACTTCTCACACGAGGCAACTCCTTCACACACATACGTACATGTGAGTATGTTTGTATAAATGTAGGCATTCTCATTGCGTACATCCTCATCTTCCAGAGGCTTCCCGCAGTCGCTGCTATACCGCCCGGCGTTGCTTGACTCTCTGCCTGGTTTGGAGTTGTGGCCTCCACAGGCGCTACAATTGAACGTAGCTTTTTTTTTTGTCTTTGTATGTATGTTTTTGGCTGTGGCATTAAGCGCAAAATTGCAGGGAAAAGTCTTCGTCGAATATCATTGACTAAATGCATGTATTTATCAGATACAGATATGTATGTACCTATACTGCCGACCCCATCCCCATTGCGAACGCATCATCTTAAGCTATTGCATACATGAATTTTGGCTTAAGCGATTTGATGTGCGAAAGAAGTGAGACAAAATAGCAGGCGCTGAAAATATGACAAAAAAAAAAAAACGGAAAATAGCCGGAAATCATAATTCCATTGTAGTCCGTTGGATGTTGTAACG